GGGATCGGGTAAAGAACTAGAGGGTAAAAGTGAGAAAGCTTGTGGGTTGAGATAAACATAGTCTTATAAGAAAAGCAGAAGCCAAGCACTCGAGCAAAGCAAAACAAGGAATTGCAGATATTCAGCTATCTCCATGGAAGCACAGCTTCATCATGTGAAATGGCAACTTGGGAAGACAAACACCACCAATTTGCATGTCTCCCATTTCTTCTTTTCCAAGTTTTTATTACTGAGTGTGATGTCATATGGTTCAGCTGTCCTGGATGTGTTCCTTCCCACCTTCTTGCGCTTCCTCAGCCTGCTGGCTGGCAGGGCAATATGTGAAACAGAAGCAGCCTTGGTGCTGTGTAAACACTGTTCAGCAGTGTTATTGATGCTGTTTTCAGCACAAATCCAAACCCTAGCCCCGTACAAGCTACTATGAAGAAAACTAACTCTATCCTGGAGAAGAACAGTAGGAGTATTCAAAGCTGTTGCTACTGCAGAAGAATTTTTGATGACCAGTTTAATGACTAGTGATGACCTAGTGTTTAATTGATATACAGTCATATTTTAAACTTCACAGAGGCTGTGGTGAGGTTGTGCTGCCTTTTTTCCTATTATTTTGACATTTTTATTTGCTTGTGTTTACATGAGTATGTTTATGAAGGTCATTTCCAGCATTTCAAGGAAGTTAAACTGAAACAATTACAGTTTCATTGTGTGGAATTGTGTTGACTTTGCCTTGTGTAAATAACTGAGTTTCTGGTACATATTGCTAATGCATATAACTCCTCTGCTATTTGAACTTATGGGTTAAATAACACTGGAAGGTAGTTGCTGTGTAAATAAATCAACCTTTAGTGTCGACTGCAGTCATGTACTTTATCACTTGCACCACCATTTGATAGAATGCAGAGATCTAATAAGATGTGGGAACTTTGGGATCGTGTCCAGTTTCTATGCACTGTAAGTGGTTACAACCACTTCTACTAGCCTTTATTACTCCCCTCCTGTGCATCTTCCCTCTGCCTTTTGCAGCTGTACTGAGCATGGTGTAGGCAATTAAGTAAATTTTCTGGAAATTCTGATGAGTCTTAGTAAGTTTATATTAAATGTGTGAGAAAAGCCATTTTAACTTTAGCAGATCTGGGCAGGCTTTAATGGTAATGGCAAGAGGCACACACTGCTAAGATGACTATCTGATCCTGCATTTCTGATCTCTGCAACATAGAAATGCTATAGCTGCTCATTAACATCAGAATTGAGCACAAGATACTGTCTCTAAATCTTTTTACAAAAGAATCAGACATTTTAGCTGAACCTTTTCAAAACAATTTAGTCTAAAGCAGACTGCTAATAATTGGCTTTCAGATCTTAAGTTGGGCAAACCTATAAGCACTTGAAAATACAGTCTTTTAAGTGAGGGAAAACCCTAATTGATTCAGTTGTTACTAGGGCCATCTGTAGTGCCCTAAAAGCAGGAAAAGATAAAATCTGATTAGAAAATACTGCTAAGATTAAATTATGGTTTTTTTTTCTCTATTAAGCCAATACAGAGAAGGGGCATGTCTTTGAAGAAAACCTGGGTCTAAGTCATCAGGCATATTGCACTAATCAAACCCATACTTGTTCCTAGCTTGCTTGGATTGTCAGTTTACAAAGAGCAAGACTCTAATTCAGCTGTGTTCTAATAAAGTAGTGCAATACAAAGAAGGATTCTAATAACACCTCTTCAGATTGCATCCAGATAAGCTTGAAGGACTTGTGCTATTTGAAAATACTTGTGTGTTTTCTTTTTATGGTGCACTGGTGGTGGTGTTAGCATTACAGTTTTTTATGGCCTTTATTTGGAACATTTGTAATATTGACCCAATTTCAGGTATTGCTAACTTAGAGCAAAATCATATACTACATTTTTTGTCACATTTCAGTTTGCATTTGTACAATGAAGAATAATTGAAGTGTGTTGAAAACTGTGTATGTGTACCATATGTGCGGTATATGATATGGTGTCTGGTTGGATTTGAAAAATAGGCCTGTTATGCCATCAAAAGTTCTATGGTCCAAACTTCTAGTATGAATTTACAGACAAGAACATGAAATATGTGTGTATATTCCCTTACGTGTGCAAAAGTGTTGTGTTTAGTTGTTGGTGGGAAAAGGGGCTTATTTTTGAATCCACCACTTTTGTAGTTGCATAAATAAGGGTATAATGAAAATGCAGCCTTGTTCTCTCATGTGAAACCATGAAACTAGAATATTTCTGCTGTCAAATAATTTTAAATATTCCTGGGGATAGAGTTAAAGAGGCACAGAATATATATCAGATTTTTTGTGTAAGCAAGATACATACAAATAAATATACATGAACTTATTTACTGTGAGTATTTCTTCAGGTGAAATAGCAATTTGTGTTTTAGGAAGTATGCTTGCTATATGTAGCTAATGCAAAAAAGTCACAGAAAAATGTTTTTAAAAGAATCATCTAAGTAATTGTAGAGAGTAACACATTTAAAGTCAGTATTTATTACAAGAAACTTGAGGATGGAATTTGGGAATTACTCAGAATGGTCAATATATGCAGTTGAATATCACGGGGGATAGAGACTGATGCCTAGAATAAACTGCAGTTCTTGCATTTGCCTATATGCAGGTGTTCAGAGAGCTTTATGATTTTCCCACTGTTAGTTTTTGTACCATCAGACTCTAGAGGATTTGGCACCTCTCTGTCAAAGAATAAAAGTCCAACCCTCTCATCAAATTTCTTCTGTTTGTCATTTAAAGAAATATCAGTGAGAGATTAAAAAAAAATGCTGTGGTCACAGAAACTATGCATAACATACTGTATGCTAATTCCATCCTAATACTGTATGCTAATTCCATCCTCATTATGATACCAAGTCCTCCCTCCAGTGGCTGCTGTAACAGCTTTTTACTTTGTCAAAAAGAACTGTAAATTCTCTCTCTCAAAGCTAAATTCAGGTTTACTGATTTTGGTGCTTCTAGCTTGGCAACTAAACCTGTTCAGTTACCTGCTCAGTGGCAGGGTCTTCATCTATTGAAAGAAGAAGGGTATCCTGGTGGAGACAAGAACGCCAAGGATTCCTGGTCTCTGTGTTGATTTATCTGATTAGGGGATGGGGTCTAATTTTCCAAGGTAATTCTGTTCAGATTTTTTGTTTCTTCCCTTGGGTAACATCAAATCTTTAAGCACTTGTATGTATTTTGTGAACTGCATTAATTTACATATACCAAATTATGAATTTTCAAATGTTGTGTAGGGAAAACCACACAATTTCTATGACTGGAATAACTGCAGTCCGGGCTATCAGAAAACCCTATATGTCATTTTCTAGCACTTCTAGTAATTTTAACTGAAATCAGTTTCTTTTCTATATGATTTACTGGAACGTTACAGGGGTTTGTGCTGCAAATGTACAAACAAGATGGACAAGATTTTGCATTTGGTAATCTTTTGTCAGTGGCTTGTTTGGAAGCATCTGAGAAAAGTGTTTAGTACCATCCACGTGTGCGAATCAACATCTGAGTCATTTTAATATTTATATTGACAACATTATATGTTAGAAAATGTACAATAAAATCTCAGTGGTTTTGCTGTTATTTTTGTGATTGCCTTTGTTACGAGTGCTAACATGATTTAAGCCTTTGCCAAAAGATGGGCATTTTAACTAAATCATGTTGACTTATATCATAATTTGTAAAATACACAATCTAAACAGAGCTTTCCTCATAGAGCTGTGTTTTAAGAAGGCTTTAGTAGTGTATTGCCATTTCCCACTAGCTTAGTCTGAACAGCCTTCTACAAATGGAAATGTCAAAGTCTGCCATAGTTCTAACTTGTAAAATCAATTGATTATTGGACTTTGTAGGCCCCCAAGGTGAAAAAAAACCAACAAACACAAACAAACCAAAAGAACCTCTCAAACCCTCTCCTTAGTTAATAAATATCACCCTCTTAAATTGCTACATTATTCCTTAATCTACAAGAAATTTTTTTGTGTAATAGATTTTTCTCTTAAGATGGTAGAAAAATAGTCTTTATTATGCTAAATTTATGGGTTTTTCTGCTGTCCTTACAGTGAACTGCTGTTACTTTAAAGAAACCATTTTGGGGTTCTTTCTTACAGATATCAGGGAACCAGTAACAGAGTTGGTGAATTCTATTACTCTTTTTTTTTGGCAAATTCCTACAGAAATAGAGTTCATGTAAGCTCATCTATGAGAAGGAATGTGAGGAAGAAGAATAAAACAAATTGGTGATGACTGACAGATAAAACAAAGAACCAAAAAAAGATGAAGGGAAAAAGAATTCAATGCTCAGAAGTCTTTTTATTGAGAAGGAAAAAGCAGTAATTGTGATGTGGTAGTTCACTCCCTTGGTGTCAATTTCAAGATGAAAGAGACTATGGATTTGAATGTCTGGGTTGCCCTTTGTGCAACAGGAGAAATTTAGAATCAGATTTTGTATGTAAATTCTCATCTTGAATACACTGAGGTTTGTTCTGTAGCTCTATACGTTTCAATCCTGATTTTCAATACCAATACCATATTGTGGAAATCACAGTGGTTTAAAACTATGTGCTTCATGTAGTTTTACTAAAGCAAAACTGTACAGTACAGTAAGAACAACAAAGTGGAGTTAATTGATGATAAAGATTGTGAAGTTCTTCTGATTATTGTTTTGGTTTTTCTTGCATTTTCTACTTTGGACTTAAAAATGTTGTGCTTCTCTAGAAGCTTATCCTTTACTGATGCTACATTAGAATCGCAAAGAAGGACATATTGTTTAGGTAGAAGTACCTTTAGGATTAGGGAGAGGTTACTGTTCATTCTTGTTAACTCGAATCTTTGACCAAACCTTGGCTTTATAATACTCAGACAAACTTTGCTTTCAGAGTAAATGCTGGGTTTTTTGTGTGGTGTGAACAGCAGAGGATGAGATCTGTTAAAGGAGCAGGCGGTAAATTTGTTAACATCCAAATCTTGTTCTTTTTCAGATTGTCCTTTGAAGATTAATCTGTATTTACGTCAGTATTTTAAATTTGTTGACAGTTTGGGTAGTGATGGCTCAGCTCCAGCAAGGAGGCCCAGATGAAAAAGAGAAGACCACTGCATTAAAGGGTATGAATCTTTTATTTTACGTATATTGACATTTCAGAAATGGTTATTGAGGAAAGGAAAATAATTTGTTATGTATTAGAGCTTGTGAATCACAGTACTGGAAGAGACTATTAGTCCACCTGTGCTAATGCTTGTTGTCTAGCGGTGTGTCCATTATCAGTATTTTCATAAGATGATACATAATTATCTGTGGTAAGGAATTAACAGAATACAATATCCACTAAATTTTTTAATTTGCATAGTTATCCTTTGAGAAAGTTGTTTGGTGCTTTTGTGTTCTTAGTTTTTGGGAGTTTTCATTTAATCTGTAGGATGCTTTTGTTTTATAGTTACACAATCATATTACAGCTTTTAAAAGTCTCTCGGACTGGAACATTAACAAAGAAAAGGTTTTCAGGACATTGATTTCATATTGCTTTTATACACTTCCATTTGTATTTTATATTTTAAAAAATTAATGGTCCTAAGTGACTTAGGGGAAAAAAACTTACATAAATGATAGTTTAGATAGTGGTTTTCAATTTTGGAAATACCATGGAGTTGGTAAGACCTTCAAGTAAGCTAACCTAACATTAAATTTAAAGTGCTTGCACCACACATTCGAACTCTAAATTGTCTTTTAAAGGAGAAAAAAGAATATAGTTTACAACTCCAGTGTACATCCTGAATTTTTGCTAAAGCATTATGAGAAATTTATATTCTGTGTGATGATAGATGGTGTCTCTTCAGTGGCTGAGTTTTTTGTGAAATGTTTGATAAAAACCTATGTAATGCTTTTATAAAACCTTGTAGTAATTCTGTCAAATTAGTATATTTTGAGGAAGTTATAGTTCATGTTTGAAAAAGTAAAGCCCCAATTTTATACTTGTCATTAATTTGATCTTCATTAAGGATTAGAGTCATTGATATGATCTCGTGATTTCCCATTGGGCTGTTGAAGGTCTCCTGTGGATCACTCCATTTTCAGCTCTGTTGAACTATCTCAAATTGAGTTGTAAAGTACAAGATCTTAAGTGAGAGTGGTGGATCAGATCTTGAAAGAATCTCGAAGTTGTAAGAACACTTTAGCTAATTGAAACGTTGCATAGGAAGAAAGTGACTGTGTCAGTGGTTGCAGGACAGACCAAGTGCAGTCTTCCTCAGTGACTGTGATGGAAGCTGTAAATCATGACAAGCTGGGCATACTGCAGATAAGCTTTCATATACTACTTAGGAGATGAATATTTTATTTTATAGTAAGTGACACTTCTGTGGAAACACATTTCCAAATAAGTCACAGTAAGAAGAATGAAAACTTCAGTGAAACTAAATTCTAGAGGAGTGGTGCGACGGGATTCTCTTCACTGAGGAGAGAAAGACTATTTGCGGCCTTGGTAATGTGAAAGTACAGAAGAAGAAAGGGCATGCTTTTTACACCCTTTTTTACATACAGTGAAAGACTTCTTTGACAAAGTTCTTTTCTTTTTCCTATCGTTTGGTTGAGAACCAAAGCAGTTACCACCAAACCTTCAAAGGACAATGCAGAAGAACAAACATATGATTGCTTACGTAAATTGAATTTCATGGGACTCGCTCTTAAACAGATGTGATGTAAAAGTGAGCTAAGATCGAGAAAGACAGATTTAGAAATCATCCAGTCAACATCTGATATTATATGGACACTTAGATGTCACAGAGATGCTCAGACACAATAGTATTGTTTTGAGAAATGTTGGATTCCAATGGCCGTATGCCAGATGGCCTTTGGTCCTCCAGCTTTGCCCACTGAAATCACTCACAGAAGAAGGAGCTGGAGATAATCGTATGGACACAGGAATGACTGTCAGGTGAACTGGAAGAGTTATAAAAAGAGAAGGTCTAGGAACTTAAAGAAACTGTTTCAGTACATTTCAAACATTTTAAACAATAGAAATTTCAAAGGGCTAAAGGTATCAGTATTAAGCTTAGATAATGTGGGTAACCTACGGGCAATAAGACTAAGCAAAAATAATGGTACTAACCTATAAAAATAATTATTTTAATTAATGAAAGGGTGGAAACATAGTTAATACCAAACCGAGCTTAAAGAAAATGAGCCTCTTCAAACTGTTTTCTTTTCGTTGAGCTACAGCTTTGAATGGTAAAGATAATAACTCAGTATACTTAGAATACTTAATGCATTTTCTTGGTAATACATGGTAGCTTGATTTATGAAACAGTAATGGTTCAAAGCCAGTGTAGCATTCCTGAACAGAATGTGTGTGGTCTTCAAATTCATCTATGAGGAAGTAGGATACTATATTTTGGTGGAATCCTCCTGAATTGTTTCTTAAATGATTTTTTGATTAATAATCAGAAAATATGTCAGAAGGGTAGCACTGGGCTGTGTGGCTGATAAGCAGTGAGGAGAGGTGACTGTACACTATTATCTGTGTATGCAGTAATTGTTTGGTAGCTACATATGAGCAAAAGATGTCCCAGTATGCTTGCCTCTGGTAAAATGAAAATCCTTAATTCTAGGGTAAAGAATGTAGATTATGCTTACGTTAGTGTACTTGCATTGGTGACTGCAGGCTGTACTAGGTTATACTGTCCTGATCTGTGTATATCATGGCTTGCAATAACATGGATGGGAGTCTTCTCTACCTTGAGAACTATTTAAGGAGAGTGTTTGAGAGAAGGATTCAGATATAACAGTCTATTTGGGTATCAGAGGAAGGGATAAGAACTGATATGGTCACACAGCTGGTAAATGCCCATGAGATGGTGTATGTTATAAGTTAGTTTAAGAATTTAGACAACTCAATTCCAATTAAAAATTGATAAATTTATTAAGCAAGCAATAATAAAGCAAACAGCGCTGGGTGGTCTGGGGGGGCAAGTGCCCCGCCCGAGACACACCCACATTGTTGGAAAACCGTGCTTTTTGTACCCTCTCGATATCAGTTGTTGAATATTCATCCATTGTCCGTTTGTTGCCTTAAAAGGCAACTTTCCTGCTTTGGAGGTGGGTGTTACCCCCTGGTTGGTTGTTACCTATCTCCCCTGGGCTTGTACAGGGGGTCTTGCATCATCCCCACGCTGCAAGTCCTGGAGGGCCTCTCTGTATCCACATGGTACAGAGAAATACAATTTTCATTTATAATTTGTTCCCTGTTCCCGGCCGCAAAAGATTCCCTGGTGTTAGGTCCAGACAGGACCCTTCACCTTACAGACTCCACGGTACGCCTAGAAGTTAGTAAATATACAGAAGTAGTTCTTTGTTAGTACCCCCTTTTTATTTTAATTTGCTTGGAATAAAAACCGGTGCCTTCACCTATCACAGTGTACATCAGATAATCTGAGCTCCTCAAGAAGGCAAACATGAACTGTATCAATGATTTGATACTGAAGCTAGGTAAGTCTAGGGTAAAACTTAAATGAGGTACGATTTTGTGATTATATGATTTTATGAATTTATGTATGATGCATACCAGAGACTTCTAACATTGAGGTAGTGAATTATTGAAATAAATCACTATATCTTTGGTGACTTTTATGTCTCTAAACATTTTTGATCAACATTAGAAATAGGTAGATAAATAAATAAATAAATAAGGACATATACTTGCAAGGAGGTTCAGCTTCTGAATGTGGAACAGGATTTCCCATAACAACGTCTTATGTTTAGTAATACTGGAATATTCTTCAACCCCTCTAAAAATCTGAACAAACACGTTTTATCAGTGTTAGTAGTGAAATAAAAAAAAAAGCATTATGTAAATTTTTTCTTTTTTAGATTTATTGTCTAGAATAGACTTGGATGAACTGATGAAAAAAGATGAGCCACCACTTGAATTTCCTGATACTCTGGAAGGATTTGAGTACATTTTTAATGAAAGTAAGTAATATATACTTTGTAAAGATTATACATAGAATAATGTTGAGATGTTATCAGAACCTGAATTATACCTTATAAGTCCCTATTAGAATTTCACACTTTTCTGTTAAGAATAAAATTTTAAACTTTAGGGCTGATAGACTTGTAAATCTAGCTAAGTACTATTTTTTTATTTCATAAAATTATCATAAAAATCCCTCATTTTATACAGGGTTGTGGATTTGTGCTGTGCCTACTTTAACTTTCTGTTTTCTGTTACAGAAGTGTTGATGCAAAAATTATGAAAGTAATTTGCTTAGCATCAGCATTTAGAAAGCAAAGTTAAAGAATGGTCACTCATTTAAGATATGTTTTATTTATTTTTATGGATACATAAGAAGTTGTTATTAAGACAATAATTTGTCCTGGCTATTTCATTAATACCAATAGAAACATGCCTATTTATATTGATGGAAAGATGAGTAGTGTAATAGACAGTCCCTTCTGGTGTGGGTCATGGTTTTCCATTGCAGCCAGGTGTGTGATGATTACAAGTACTTCCAGCTAGCTCAGTCTGTATGTTAAATGAATTATATAATGGAAATTTATAATTTTCAGTGTATGCATTTTAAAATCCAAAGCTAAAGTAAAACCATACTCTGGGAAATGGCTCTTTCAAGATTGTTTAAAACCTGTAGGACAAGTGGGAATGTTTACAATTCTACTTCTTTGCAGTGCCTGTTCTGTGAACAGAGGAACTTTAGTTTCTAAATCTGCCTTACATCTTCCACTTTCAAAGAAAAAAAAAAGCGCTTTCCTTTAAGTGATAGTCATTTATGCAACACTTAGCTTTTTAATACCCTGATGGCTTTCACAGGAAGGTACTTAGAGACTGAAAGTGTCATGAAAGTGATGCTCTTTCTTTGATGGAAGGGGTTCAGCTCTGTCACTTTTCAGCTCCTTATTTTTAGATCTGCACAGTGTCTACTGTCTTCCTTACTGACTTCAGAATTAATGGTTCATATGTGGTTGATAAAAAGGGCTGAAATTTGAATTTTGGGGAATGAATTATATTACTGAATATTTCATCACTAACCTCACAGCCTGAGTGATTTCCATAGAATGGAGGAAAACCTATTACATATGCTACAGGTCAGCAACGCAAAAAGGTCTTCATTTTGCCTTTGTACGTTTAATTCAAATATTCAGTCATGTACTCTTATGTCATAATCACATTTCTTTTTATGATGGAAAAGTACAGAAGATTTTTATCAGATTATTTAAATCTGAAGAAGACCAAGGTTCCAGAAAGCCAAAGAAAAAATATACCAGAGAGTTGTTCCATTTTACTTGCTGAGAAGGACAATTCATGTACTATTGAATGGCATATTTGAAAAGTAACTAGCTGAGAAGGAACAGCTGATTGTAAAGCTGTGATGAAAATATGAGAAGAAGGATATCTGGACCTGACACAGGGACAGAAAGCTGTGAAGAAATATTTACTTGGTATCTAGTACATGAGGTAAGGCAGATCTGGGAAAAAAGTTAGATCAGCAGATAAGCATAACTAGTATAGGTATTAGATCTTAAATATTTTACTTAAAACATCAAAACCAAAGTGTAAACATTCTGAAAAGATGATAACTAAGCAACTGTTTTCTGTTCAGGAGGAAACACTGCTGAGAAACCTTAGTTTCATCATGTATACATTTCAGCTTTTAAAGGAGTTTACTTGTACCTATTCCTGGTTTTTTATATTTCCCTGAGTAACTGCAATTTTAGGATCATCTGAGATCATAATCAGTGTTTTGTCTGATAAACTGAAATATTACTGCTAAGGTATCTATTTTCCCCAGTTTACTGCCTCATGGTTGCCATTTTATTATTGTTTTTTAAGGCAGTCTATGTCTTCATCAATGTTTGTGTGAGCTGTTAACTTTGACTATAAAAAAGACCAATTTCGGGAAGTTACATTGGAGTGTAAGAATAGCAGGGGGTTTTGCTCTGATCAAGCAGTCTGCTTCATTCTACTGTTGTAATCTCAGAGTACACTGAATCTAGAAACTCTTACTTGATTTCACTATGCCTAGGAGTTAAGATATTTACCCTAACTGTGGACATGTTTTTTTTCAGTTTACTTTTGAAAGTTGTTAAGCTTGAAAGTAAATGTTTCCTTTACTTTGAGCTTCCAGCCCTTTTGTACTCTCATTTCTCCATAATAGAGTTGGTTTTGAAATAGTGGATTTGCAGCTACAGTTTGAGTACTAGAGATCAAATATTAACTGCTAATGTTTACATTTTACTGTTAATCCATAGCAGTTAAGACATAAATATTTCTTGCAAAGCAGTTTGGCATTTGATACCTGTGTGTAATTTCACTGTCATGATTTCTGTTTAGCTTTATCTAGCAATATATACCATACAAGGGGACTGCATCTTGCTTTTAGGCTACAAATGTTTTCCTTCAAAAATCCTATAACAAAAATGTGGAGAAATTCATAATAGCCCAATTTTTAGATGTAGACTTCTTTTAAAATTTCCAGCAATTAAATGTGTCCTACTTTTAATGAAGAAATATTCTAAATGTAATGATTTTGCTTCTTTTACAGAAGGGCAATTAAGACATATAAAAACTGGGGAACCATTTGTGTTTAATTATCGTGAAGATTTGCACAGATGGAACCAAAAGCGCTATGAAGCTCTCGGAGAGGTATGTAATTTGTGTGTGTATGTATGTATGTGTGTGTGTATAGATATATGTATATACATGTGTATGCTGTGGGCTTTGGTTTTTTTTCCCCTCTAGAAGTGATTCTTTTATATATGTTAATGAAGATTTAGTGAGGCTTCAGTCATTTAACAGAAGGTATTTCAGGATTATTCAATATTAATACTTTAACAGTAATTTTTATTGTTCGTTACATAGCTTAATATGTGTTTTAGACTACTTGGCTTCAGTATATCTTCAAAATGGAATATCATCTAGATTACTTAAATTAGATATTATACATTGCAGTATTTTCTTTAACTTCAGTCCCCTCAGGGTAAAGCATGGAGTACAAAACAGTGGCATTTGACTTTGTAGGTGAAGATAAATGCATTTGTTGATTTTCTCGTGTTGCTAGGTGGTACCAGGAGCCACTAGATAGATTAAGTAGATATCTAATGATTAATTGATTAAATATTTGTTGGTGTATTAGATATTTGGATGCTACTAGTATTTCCTGGCTTTTTGGAGGTGTAAAAGCAACTGACCATAGTTACTTTTCTATGTGAAATGTACTTCATTTTCAATGCCAAGCTTTTTGTATTGCTTTAGAAGTCAGAGCATGGACTTGTTAAAAAGCAGCTAGTCTCAGTGAATGCAGAACTGTGTACTTACGTCTTTCTTGCATTGTCACAACCTCCCTGCCTTGCAGAAAGAACAGTCTCAGCACACTGACCTTGACTGAATAATGCTGCTTATGTAAGAGTGGCTTTTGGAGAAAGAAGGTGCAGAGTTCTGTTCACAAACTAGGGTCTTCTTCTTAGACTATATAATATTGCCCACTGATTTCTGCTGGACTCATCACTCAAGAACCACCTTTGCTTCATGATTGTCTCACTTGCATTAGTGCTATTGTTTTAGTAAGAATTAAACGCACTAATTTCCCACTTATTCTTTCTGTTACAGTAATTCAGACTACTTAAAGATATACTTGACTATGCATGTTTAGCCATTTTGTCTTTTAGGTTTTCTAGTTTTCATAATTTACCCCTGTGGGCAGTTCAGCCCTACACAGCTGCTCGCTCACTCTGCACTGTGACATGAGGGAGAGAATCCGAAGGGTAAAAGTGAAAAAATTCACAAGCAGAGTTACAGTTTAATAGGTAAAGTAAAAGCTGTTTGTACAAACAGAATAAGTAATCAATTCACTTCTTCCCATCAATAGGCAGATGTTTAGCCATCTCCAGTAAAGCAAGGCTTGTTCATGTGTAATGGTGCCTTGGGAAGAAAAATGCCTTATTTATAAAATCCTAGAATTGTTTGGGGTATCTTAGCAGCTTAGTTCTCTGGAATGCAGCCAGGATGTGTGGCTTTGCTGCTTATGTTTACTGTGTCCCAGGCTATGCAGGGTCCCGATCCTCAATCAGCAGCACCTTTTGGCCCTCAGTAAGCATAAAAAGATAAGGTGTACCTCACACACATGGCACGATGGGTGTCAGTTCTTCTCCAGCCAGCAGAGTTTCAGTCTCCGATGGCAGTCAGGCAGCATGTGGTGACAGAGAAAAGGTGAGGGGGAGGTGGAGAGAGATTCTTGACTAGGGTAATGGGTTCTCTCTCCCTTTCCCTGATTTTCCAGAATTTTTCCTCAACTTTTATAGTGTTCAAAGGAGGTTGTATGTGGTTTCTTGGCACATAGACCTATTCACATGTTCGAAGATTTATGATAACCATAAACAGTAGCAGAATCTTTTGGCAGGAAGATTCCAGCAAGAAACTGATGAGGACCTCTGGCAGGAAAGCTGACAGAGAATTTTTGGTAGGAAGTTTTGACATGCAGAAACAATGGTGAAACATTATTTTTGGCATGCCTATATTACCTGGTTGTCACAGTACTTCCAACTCCCTGCCATGGGCAGGGATACTTTCTACTATACTGGGTTAATTAAAGCCTTGTCCAACCTGACCTTGAACACTTCCAGGGGAAGGGCATCCCCAGCTTCTCTGGGCAAACTGTTCCAGCGCCTCCCTACCTTCAGAGTCAAGAATTTTTTTTCTAACATCTAATCTAAACCTACTCCCTTTTGGTTTAAAGCTATTGTCCCTCATCCTATTACTCCATGTTCTTGTTAAAAGTTCCTCTCCAGTTCTCTTGTAGCCCATTACTCTTGAAGGTGCTCTAAGGTTTTCCCAGTCTTCTCTTCTCCAGCGTGGAAAACCCCAGCTCTCACAGCCTGTCTTCACAGGAGAGGTGTTTCAGCCTTCTGGAGATCTGGTGCTCTGTGCTTGCTCGTTCAGCCCCTCTATTTGTATGTCAGCCTGGGCACTCTGCTGTATGTGCTGGAGCTGCCCAGCTGTTCAGCACAGTTTTCTCCTGCCAGAACTTTGTTACCAATGACTAGCTTGCCTTTTACCACCTCTTCCTCATTCCTGCAGGAGCTGTGGCAGGAATCCCATTTGATTGTGGAAGGAGACACTGGGCAGGGCTACTGCAGCCACTTCTCATATCTTTTCAATTTGTATATTTTTCCCAAAAAGGGATTATTCTGTTGCATTGTCTGTTACCTTGTCTACACATTTCTTCCAAGAGGAAACACTTCCATGTTTTTTGTGTGCAGACCTTCGTGTGTATCTGCATTGTTCAAATACCCCCATTTTGCAAATAAGTGAGTTGAACAAGACACAGCTGTAAATATTAGTATGTTTCCATGTCTGTTCTCTGCAGCCACACCTTCCTATGTGTGTTTTGAAACTTAATCAAATTTCTGGTTTTTGTATCTGAATAATGTGTGCACAGCTTCAACACTGAGTAGTATGAAGGACTTTTTGTGACTTCTGGTTTATCAGTAGGTGTATGTGTTCATGAGTGGGTGTCTTACATCTGTGATCTGTCTTGTGCATTTTGCAGGTTTGAATGATCTTTGGAAATTTGTTTTGTTTATATTGGTAGGAAGGCTTGAGGTTAGGTATTGACAGAGGGAATTGTTTTAAGTTGTTTGTTTTGTGTTTTTAGGAGAAAAGAAACTAATTTGTGTTTCAGTTCATTGTCTTTTAGGTGCTAGGTACTACACAGGTCTTCCAACAAGCCACAAATTTATAAATGCTCCATTGTCTGTTTCTGGCACAGTTATCTGAGAGCACAGAGGATGACGATCCTTGGCATTTATTCACATATATAAAACCTTCTTTTGTGCCATAGATTAATGGGCAGTGAGGCAGCGGTTGAACAGTACAGAAGTGGTATATTACCTTCTGATTAGCCATTTAGTAGTCTAGAGGAAAGATGTGTTTAGCAAACAGTGATGCTTAAGAAGCATCATGATTTCTCATGATTTCTAAGGTGATGTAGTAAAATCTTGCCTTAGGCCTTTGCTTTGAAACATCATCCTTTGGCTTTAGGAGTTCTTTGTGTACATTTTTGGCTCAAGATTTATGTAGCTGGACGTATGGTGTGATAATGAAGTAGCTAGATTTGGACAAAAGTGTTTTATGTATGCAGTGTTTCTATTGTTAACTCAGTCGTTGAATGCTGATTTTCTAATTTTTAAAGGGTATACACATTCTGCACAAGGAAACTTTTTTTACTGTATATATATATATATGCTATGGGCTGCTTTTACTGCAATTTACTGATTTTAAGAAGTGAATGTGCTTTCTGGCCTTATGTTACCAGCATAATTCTGTCTTTCTTGGAGCATTAATAAATTTCCATTTGGTCACCATGCTTTTTTTGCTGTCAGAAGTCGTAAATACACTATCTGTGGTGTTCTGCCACTTTTCTGGCTGTGTGGAAATTGATTCTTCAAAAATTAAAATGGTTCATCAACATCTCTACTGCTTACATCTCTTTATTCTTCATTCACTGATCGGTTATTTCAGGCACACAGTTTGTTTTGTACCCTCTTGATATGTGTTGCTAATAGACAATTTAGCGAACTGTTCATAATTTTGTGATTCTAGTTCAGTCATTGGTATTGAAGCATTGAATTTTGTGGAGAGCCTCTCCATTTGCTTTTTAAAAATTAAAATGGCAACAGAAGTGCATAGAACATGGTGTTGCAGCTGCTTCGAACTGCCGATTAATCTGCATGGCAGGTTTGAAGTACGACTGAGAACAATTTTGTGACAACAGTTCAGTTGTTGCAGACATACCATTCCAGTTCAAGGCTGAATTTTTACATTTTTTTCTAGCTTCAAGTTATGGAGATTTGGATTCAAGGTTAAGCTCCAGATTAGACTCATATGATGTATGCCTCCTTGCATTCTGAGTGGATATGTGTGCTTATTGTTTGTACTGCAGTTTCAGTTGATAGCATAACTACTGAAATTGCCAACAGTCAGCTTCAGCCCCTGCCTGATCGTTACGTTGAAATTAGCTGGAATTATAAAGAAAATATCTGTTGCTGGGGTTTCATTTAAATATGCATAGGTTGTGCTGATAATGAAATTTTATACCAAAAATTATATATTGACTTTCGTCTTCCACAATCATATAGTACCAGAGTACCCCTAGCATCAGAAGGCAGATATTGTTATAATTTATTGATTACTTTGAGCTCTATCACTAATGAAGAGACTTTTACCTGCACTGACAGATTGCTTGTCTACCCATGTCTTGCAAAATTCAAAGAGGATTTGTAAATTTATAGATTATAATGTGGACCATGACATAAATGCCTCTGCTGTGATCCTGTTCAAGTTTATGCCGCTTCTTGTAATTGTAGCCTTTCTGACCTGCTGCAGTCTATAAGGTAGCAGAAGAACTGTTCTTGTTTTTTACAGTTACCCATAGCACAATACCTTGTATTTATGTAGAACACATATGTAAAGCAAAAAAATGGAATACTTAAGTCAGAAATTTCTTGCATGTTTCATGTATGATAAGAAATAGTTAATTTTATGTCATCAGAGAAGTCCCATTAAATAAACTGCTTTAAAGTATGTGCACAATGTTAGGTCCAGCTCATCATAAAGTAGTTTAACCATCAAGTTTAATATTTGAGGGG